GCTTCAATGCCTTACATCTACAGTTTATTAGGCACACCCATCTAGTACCGGGTCGAACTCAACCTTTGCCTCCAGAACAACCTGAATTATTCGGGGCATTCTACAAGGTGTCGGAAACGTTCCACAGGGATGTTGGTCCATGCTGACGCTATGGCATCACGTGGTTGCTGCAGATTGGACAGCGGTACATTCATGCTGGGAACAGCCCATTCCATCTCATCCAAAATATGTTCTATTGGTTTGAAGTCTGGGGACTGTGCAGGCCACTCAAGTAAACTGAACTCGCTGTCATGTTCCAGGCAATGTTTTTCCAATTGTCCAGTGTTTTTGATCGCATGCCCATTGGAGCTGCTTCTTCTTGTTTTTAGCTGATAGGAGTGGAACCCGGTGTGGTCGTCTGCTGCAATAGCCCATCCGTGACAAAGATCGACGAGTTGTGCGTTCCGAGATACCGTTGTTTGTCGCACCATTCTCACTGTTGAACTGTGCCGTTATTTGTCTGTTTGTGGCCCGCCTGTTAGCTTGCCATTCTGCTTCGACCTCTCTCACCAACGAGCTATTTTCACCCACAGGACTGCCACTGACTGGATTATAAAAAATGTTGTTGCACCATTCTCGATATACCCTGGACATCGTAGTGTGTGAAAAGCCCAGGAGAGTGGCTGTTTCTGAGATACTGGATCCGGCGCACCTGGCACCGACGATCATTCCATGCTCAAAGTCGCTTAGGTCACTTGTTTTGCCCATTCTAACGTTCAATTGAACAGTAACTGAATGCCTCGATGCCTGTATGCCTGCTTTATATACTGTAGCAAGCCATGGCCACGTGACTCACTTTCTGTAAGTTGCGATCCATTTTCGTGAACGGGGTGGTGTACCTAATAAGCTGGCTGGTCAGTTATAGATAAAGGCATAGGTCAGAAAAGGATTGATAAAAAATATATTAACCCATTTATTTAAAACTACAACAGAGTCTGTTTAAACAGATACATCTCAGGAAGCTAAACCAAGCAGATAACATGGCACTTGAAAATCTAACACAAAAAAATATCAACCCTAAAGGCTATTGCACAGTAACCCAAATATTGCATACAGTGCATTCAGAAAGTATTCATACCCCTAGACTTATTCCACATTTGTTGTGTTACAACCTGAATTCAAAATGGATCAAATTGATTTATTTTCTCAACCATTTCTACACACAATACTCCATTATGGCAAAGTGAAAACATGTTTTTTGAAATGTATGTAAATGAAATGTTTCTGTATTTAATTTTCAATACATTTAATTGAAAATGAAATACATAAATATTTCATTTACATAAGTATTTACACCCTTGACTCAATACTTTGTAGAAGCACCTTTGGCAGTGATTACAGCTGTGATTCTTTCTGGGAAAGTCTCTAAGAGCTTTCCACACCTGGATCTTTCCACACCTGGATTGTTCAACATCTGCCCATTATTATTTTCAAAGTGTATCCTGAAAAACTCCCCAGTCCTTAACGAGTACAAGCATACCCATAACATGAATTCAGCCACCACTATGCTCGAAAATATGGAGTGGTACTCAGTAATGTGTTGTATAGGATTTTTCCCAAACATAACGCTTTGTATTAAGGACCAACATTTTTTGTTGCAGTATTACTTTCATTCCTTGTTGCAAAGAGGATGCATGTTTTTTGAATATTTTTATTCTGTACAGGCTTCTTTCTTTTCACTCTGTCAATTAGGTTAGTATTGTGGAGTAACTACAATGTTCTTGATCCATCCTCAGTTTTCACCTATCACAGCCATTCAACTCCTGAATGGCCATTCAACTCCAATTTACTCCTGAACTTATTTAGGCTTGCCATAACAAAGGGGTTGAATACTTATTGACTCAAGACATTACAGCTTTTCATTTTTTTATTAATTTGTAGACATTTTGAAAGTGACGAAAAATCTCAATTTAATCCATTTCAAATTCAGGCTGTAACACAACAAAATGTGGAAAAAAGTCAAGGGGTGTGAAGGCACTGTACAGTATTTCAGGTAAAGCGGAGAAGAACAGTGAGTCCACAAACCATGCAGAAAAGGCAATGTACTGTATAGAGATTCAAAGCAAAATAAACATCTAATACGGATAGAGATTTGCATATGCCAGTGTAAGAGACCAAGTGTTTATAAATCCTGCTGCTTTATTATTATATTATATGATTGTCACAGTTTTTGTAATACTTGTAGAGAAAATAACATATATGGTTACCACAACAGAAAGAAAAATCAAATAAAGCTAATATAGTAGCAAAATTGTCTTAGGAGGGGTTGAAACTCTCTCCCAACATGATTAAAATGTTAAACCATGATGACATTTGGAAAGAAATAAACATGGTATGGTGGTCCATTCGCTTCTAACGCATTTGTTTTAAATAAAAGGAAAACATATATTGTAACTCATTTTGAACCTAGCATCAAATGCTCCAGTCACTTTCTTAAATACAGCATAGGAATAAATCAGCAAGTTCCATGTATTGCACTGGCATCAGTATGCCTGGCTTTAGGCCTCAGATCCAGAGACTTAGAAAGCTTCTTAAAACTATAGAGACTGGTTTGCCATAAAGCTGGGAATAATCTTTAGTATGGTAACAGGTTCTGACATTTCAGCAGGAAGACAGTTCTAGTCAACACATCCATAGGAACTTTAAAATCTGGACAGTGTTTACATCTTGTGACATCATCAGTAACAGACCATTTCAATGGCAGAAGAAGTTTCGTAAGAAACAGGAAACAAACAAGGTGTCTAACTTCTATAAATATGGCTTTTATCCCCTCAAACAACATGCAACCACTTTACACATACACACACGTACAAACTAGCATCGTTAGAAGCTTAAAGGAAGCACTTTTATCTTGTTTGGCCTTTTCAAAGCCACTTTTCCTGGCTTGCTCAAGGTTCATTGTCCTATGATCCATGAAGAGGTTTCATATAGAGCTTAAAACATCATATATAAACAGTACCAGCCAAAAGTTTGGACACACCTACTCATTCCAGGGTTTTTCTTTATTGTTACTTTTTCTACATTGTAGAATAATAGTGAAGACATCAAAACTATGAAATAACACATATGGAATCATGTAGTAACCAAAAAAGTGTTAAACAAGTGAAAATATATTTTATATTTGAGATTCTTCAAAGTAAACACCCTTTGCCTTGATGACAGCTTTGCTCACTCTTGGCATTCTCTCAACCAGCTTCATGAGGTAGTCACCTGGAATGCATTTCAATTAACAGGTGTGCCTTGTTAAAAGTTAATTTGTGGAATTTCTTTCCTTCTTAATGCGTTTGAGCCAATCAGTTGTGTTGTGACAAGGTAGGGGTGGTATACAGAAGATAGCCCTATTTGGTAAAAGACCAAGTCCATATTATGGCAAGAACAGCTCAAATAAGCAAAGAGAAATGACAGTCCATCATTACTTTAAGTCATGAAGGTCAATCAATCCAAAAAAATAAAAAATAAAAGTGCAGTCGCAAAAACCTTCAAGCACTATGATGAAACTGGCTCTCATGAGGTCCGCCACAGGAAAGGAAGACCCAGAGTTACCTCTGCTGCAGAGGATACGTTCATTAGAGTTACCAGCCTCAGAAATTGCAGCCCAAATAAATGCTTCACAGAGTTCAAGTAACAGACACATCTCAACATCAACTGTTCAGAGAAGACTGCGTGAATCAGGCCTTCATGGTCGAATTGCTGCAAAGAAACGACTACTAAAGGACACCAATAAGAAGAAGAGACTTGCTTGGGCCAAGAAACACAAGCAATGGACATTAGACCGGTGGAAATCTGTCCTTTGGTCTGATGAGTCCAAATGTGAGATTTTTGGTTCCAACCGCTGTGTCTTTGTGAGATGGAGAGTAGGTGAACGGATGATCTCCGCATGTGTGGTTCCCACCGTGAAGCATGGAGGAGGAGGTGTGATGGTGTGGGGGTGCTTTGCTGGTGACACTGTCAGTGATTTATTTAGAATTCAAGGCACACAACCAGCATGGCTACCACAGCATTCTGCAGTGATATGCCATCACATCTGGTTTGCGCTTAGTGGGACTATAATTTGTTTTTCAACAGGACAATGACCCAACACACCTCCAGGCTGTTTAAGGGCTATTTGACCAAGAAGGAGAGTGATGGAGTGCTGCATCAGATGACCTGGCCTCCACAATCACCTGACCTCAACCCAATTGAGATGGTTTGGGATGAATTGGACCGCAGAGTGAAAGAAAAGCAGCCAACAAGTGCTCAGCATATGTGGGAACTCCTTCAAGACTGTTGGAAAAGCATTCCAGGTGATGCTGGTTGAGAGAATGCCAAGAGTGTGCAAAGCTGTCATCAAGGCAAAGGGTGGCTATTTGAAGAATCTAAAATCTAAAATATATTTTGAGTTGTTTAACACTTTTTTGGTTACTACATGATTCCATATGTGTTATTTCATAGTTTTGATGTCTTCACTATTATTCTACAATGTAGAAAATAGTAAACAATGTAAATTAAGAAAAATCCTTGAATGAGTAGGTGTGTCCAAACTTTTTACTGGTACTGTATATATATATATATATATATATATATATATATATCAGGTAAAATAGGGGTAACACTTCAGTTGAGAAACCTTCGTAGCACCTACAAAAGCTATACATAACACCTGACATAGATAGTCGTCAACATTTATAAACATCACAGAGAGCACCTGGCTGAACCTCTACTAACTATCAGACAGTCTCCCCTCAATCGAAGTGTTCCCCCTATTTAACCAAAGACCTGGTTGTACTTTGTTTCCTTTTAAACAGGAAGAGTCCTGTCCTGTCTCCCAGTATAAGGAGGACGCTGAAGCTGGTGCATCACAAAGAGGCTGCCTGTAGGGGGCGCAGTCTGTTAACCCCCTGGGTCAGACCCTGGGTATTACTAGGCCACGGGACAGTAGGAGTCCTGGGTGATGGAGCCTGGATCTGGGGCTTCACGACACCTCAACCAGCAGACTGGGCGAGCTCACAGAAGCGTCTTGGATTTTCACCTGAGTGGGAGGAAGAGGCAAAAGGAGGAAGAAGGGTCAGCATACTTATATTTCATGTTACTATGTAATGTCATGACTTATGTCATGCTGAGTCATTGCGCTATCTGAAGTAAGACAATGAAAACACTACATTAAAGATTTGTAACCCAAATTACCAAAAAAAATCACATTATTTATTTCCTAACCAGTGATATATTAATACACTCGTACTTAGACACTAGCAAATTCAAGTAGTTTCACTTAAATCTGCTGATGGTAGGCCTACAACAACTATGATCCCAATAAGGTGGTGTTAGAAGATGTTATATGTACAATGGTATTAATAAAAAACATGAACTAAGTGAAAGTGTCAAAGAGGGGATCATGTACTGCTGTTTAATGCCAGTGGGGGTATTCTACTGTTAGAGGATGGTGGTAGAGGTCTTCACTGAAATGGACCTGGGGCTTTCCCAACCCGACCCGTAAATGTTTATTTTTAAATATAGAGACCTATTCCAAACAGACCCGAGGACAAATAGACCTGTTTCGTATATAGACCTGGTCGGATCCAGACCCGATCCGATCCGAGTGAGGGAAGCAGCAGAACAGTCATTTTTAAGCTACTTTAGTAACCAGAGCTGATAAAGCCCAAGAGGAGGGAGAGGGGCCGCTCTAGCAGGCTGTGAGGGGCCGTACTGTGTGCGAGTGACGTGGGGAGGAGGGAGGAGAGCAGGAGGGAGAGGGGCCGCTCTAGCAGGCTGTGAGGGGCCGTACTGTGTGCGAGTGACGTGGGGAGGAGGGAGGAGAGCAGGAGGGAGAGGGGCCACTCTAGCAGGCTGTGAGGGGCCGTACTGTGTGCGAGTGACGTGGGGAGGAGGGAGGAGAGCAGGAGGGAGAGGGGCCACTCTAGCAGGCTGTGAGGGGCCGTACTGTGTGCGAGTGACGTGGGGAGGAGGGAGGAGAGCAGGAGGGAGAGGGGCCACTCTAGCAGGCTGTGAGGGGCCGTACTGTGTGCGAGTGACGTGGGGAGGAGGGAGCGAGAGATGAGAGACAGCAACCAACCAGGCAGACTCGCACTATAGTAGACTAATTATTGCCATAGCTAGGTTATCTATCATCAAATATGATTACGTAGTACCTGTCTTGACTGCATCAAACCGGGAGAACTAGCTAATGTTAGCTAACTAGGCTAACAGGCTGCAGTGCATGCGCTTTCTCATCCTACAGTTACAAATAACAACAACTCCATTCAGAATATTAAGTAGCAGCCTACCTGTTGGCTCTTGGTTGTTGTAGCATATCCTTCTCCTTTAACTTTTAATTCTATCATTGTAATTCCATCTTCCATTGATTATATATCCCCTAACTATTGCCACACACATAGTGAGCTCTATGTCTGTAGCCTATTGCCGTTTTGATGACTTATGATTGGCTAACAACAAGCTACACGCGCCACTCTCGTGAAAAGCAACAGCAGCAGCATTTTTTTTTTTTTTTATCTCTCTCTCCACTGCAACAGTCACGTTCGGATCTCTATGGCCCCTTCCGGACAAGTCAGTTAAAATTACACATACCCGATACCCGTGACAATCATAACAAATCCTGCCCAGACCCGTGACATTATTTAGAATACTAGATCTGGACCCGCTCGTGTCCCGGATCGGGTCTCGGGTATTCGGGTACAGGTGGATCCATGAAGACCTCTAGATGGTGGTTAAAGATAGGCAGGGTGGATTACAGGAAGCTGATATATGCTCACTGACAGGCAAGGCAAGCCAAGAAGCAGTACCTTTACCAACCCAGGGACGGGAGGAAGAGGACGAAGAGGAGGAGGAAGGGGGGGGAGAAGTGAGGCCGAGGGAGGACATTCTCTGCTTGTTCTCCTGGAATAACTCAAGGTAGAGCGAGAGGGAGCGAGACAGAGGTAGATAGAGAGTCAGAGATAGAGTGCATGTGAGGTGAGAGAGGAGGGCGGGTGAGATAGAGAAAGAGGAGAGCAGATGGAATACCTAACAGTGATTTTTCTAAAGAGTGCATAACATAGAAAGAAGTAAAATAACAGCATTATAGAGGGTATAAGAAGTAAGAAATAAGCCAGACCCTGTAAAAAGAGCGAGCTCACCTCTAAGTTTGTCCGTGCCTTCTTCAAGACATCCTTTGTTCTCGACACTGTAAACAACCAGAAACAAAACAGTTATGATTCATCTGTGACTGTCACCCATCACTTCAACACATACACATGCACATGCAAACACAAACACCACAGTGAGTCATATCACTGCGCCTTTACAGAGTCTGTGCTGAGGGGCAGATGATGATGAAAGACCTCCAATGATGAAGAGACAGAGAGAGAAAGAAAGAGTTAGAGAGAGATGAGTTGAGTCACGACAGAGGGAGAAAGCAGTGAAAGCGAAAGAAAGAGAGAGAGAGCGAGAGAGAGAGAGAGAGAGTGAAAGAGAGAGAGAGAGAGAGAGAGTGAAAGAAAGAGCGAGAGCGAGAGAGAGAGCGAGAGAGAGAGAGAGAGAGAGAGAGAGAAGAGAGAAGAGAGAGAGAGAGAGAGAGAGAGAGAGAGAGAGAGAGAGAGAGAGAGAGGAGGAATGAGGGGGAGAAATGAAACAAATAGGAAGATACATGACTGTGCATATGAGGCAGAGATATGAAAGGAATAGGGTGAGACAGGAGAGGGGGTGAGACAGAAGAAAACAAAGGAGGGTTGGGGAGAGGTAAAGAGTGGTGAATAGTGGGTGAAGAGAAAACACGAGTAACTGAGAGGAGAGTAGTGAGAGTCACTTACGTTGGCTGACGATGAAGTGTTCCATGCTGTCTTTGGTGCGGTTGGAGCTCTTCAGTGTCTCCATGGCGTCCCTTAGGGCCTCCTCCTGCTGTGAGATCCGCTGACGCAGCGTGTGGACCTCCTCCTTTAGAGACAGCTCCTGGACACACACAGATAGACAAAAAACACACCGTCACATTTCACACATCTACACACACCTGTAAAGAGCAGTGAGGTTACACTGATTCCACCTGGAGTGACGTCACAAATGTATTAACAAAGTCACCCCTAAAGCATACAAACTCTCAACAATGATCAGTGACTTCACACACATAATACGCTAACAGCAAAAGCAAATCCCCTTAACGTAACCCTTACAATCAAACAGTGGACATTGTCTCTGTATGTCATGCATATGAAGGCATTATGAATGCTTTATGAATGCTTTATAAAGAGTATGTGTTTCTGACCTTGGTGCTCTGAGAGAACCCATCACAACTGGGCAGGGCTGCCCTCCAGAACATTCTGAGCAGGGAGCTGGCTTCCTCAAGGATCTGCCGCAGGGTCTTAGTGCTAGTCAGCAGTCTCCTCACCAAGCCAGGATCCACAGGCTGACACACAGAGAAAGAGACATACACAGAGACAGTTCGTCTAAACAAAACTAAAACACAGGTTAACAATACAAAAGTGTGACATATTTTCAGTTCAACTAGATATACTGTATACAGTACTACTAAGATGATGCATGAGTTTATTGAATTTAAACCAAGGATCTAAAAGTTACTCTCGAGCATCATTAACTCTGTAAAATGTCTGCTGCTCCTCTAACCTCTAAATTACCCCAGACCTCTCACCTTATGCAGGCTGAGCTCCAGCAGGGCTTGGTTGGCAGTGTCCTGGAGGGCAACCTCCATCTTGCCGATGAGGACGTGTCCCTCCAGGATCTGCTGCTGTAGGGCACGGAAGTCATCAACATGCCCCACAGCGTGGCGGCCATTACGGTTTGCAAAAGAGCCGTCTGGGGCTTGGCCCTCCAGAGCAGAGTCAGTCTCCTGGGGTTCCAGTGTGGGGGAGAGAGGGGAAGCAGGGCTGAAGAGTCCAGTGTCTCGGACATGGGGGAGAGAGAGCAGGGTCTGTGAGGAGGAGAGGAAGAGTGGAGAATCAGTGTTAGAGTTAGGGTAAATCTCAAATGGCATGGCGCCCTATTCCTTATTTAGTGCACTACTACTTAGGCTCTGGGCAAAAGTAGTGCACTATATAGGGAATAGGGTGCAATTTCAAACACTTAGTTGTGCCAATAAATGTAGTAGAATATGTGGTAACAATGGTAACCGTATCCCAGAATTAATGCAGTGTAGCACTCCCTCGCTCTCACCGTGGAAGAGCTGTCTCCTCGCTCCAGGAGGGCATGTCGCAGAGGTCAACTGCTGCCCCAGCTGAACATGCAGGTCCCTGGGGTCAAAGGGCGCAGACTCCCCTGTGTGTGACCCCTCACCCGTATGTGTATTCTTGGGGACGCCACACACTCTGTGATATATCTGCAGCTTATACTGTAGAGAGTGGATGAGGCCACGGCTCTCACACACCTGCTGCTGCAAGACATTCACCTCGTGCTGCAACCTGGGGACGTACACATAACACAGTTATAAACACACACAAACACACACACACACACACACACACACTCACCCCTCCTACCTTTTGATGGCATCCTGGTTGTTCTGCCTGTCCTGTTTCAGCTTGGTGATCTCCAGGGTCTGATCCTGTGTCTGCTTCTGCAGCCTCCTGCCCTGCTCCGCCCACTGCTCAGTCTCTAACTCTGCCTCCTTCACACGGGCACGCCCCAACAGCACCGCCTCCCGCAGCTGTTCTGCCTCCTTACTGCCGTCTAAGGGGAGGGTACAGAGGAACTCAAATATAAAGACAGAAATTACAAGGAATAATATGGTATAATGAGGCATAACACTCAATGGTTATCATTCTCCTCTCAGTGAGGGGTTTCGATTAATGCCCCGGTTGAACCGGGTTAGCATTGATTGCATTCGTTTTGGAACCGGGCTGCCTCCCGGGCGTGATCCACGCTCTCAGAAAAAAGGGTACGGTTAGGGTACAGTATTGTTCCCAGGGGTAGAAAAATATTTAAATAAAATACACATCATGTACCTTCAGAGGTAGACATACTGTATAATCTCACATACTGTTCAGTACCTTTTAGGGTACATGTGCGGATACTGGTGATCTAGTATAAATCAAATCAAATCAAATCAAATGTTATTGGCCACATGCGCCGAATACAACAGGTGCTGACATTACAGTGAAATGCTTACTTACGGCCCTTAACCAACAGTGCATTTATTTTTATTAAAAATTAAAATAAAACAACAACAAAAAAGTGTTGAGAAAAAAAGAGCATAAGTAAAATAAAATAACAGTAGGGAGGCTATATATACAGGGGGGTACCGGTGCAGAGTCAATGTGCGGGGGCCCCGGCTAGTTGAGGTAGTTGAAGTAATATGTACGGTAGAGTTAAAGTGACTATGCATAAATAATTAACAGAGTAGCAGCAGCATAAAAAGATGGGGTGGGGGGGGGGGGGGCAGTGCAAATAGTCTGGGTAGCCATGATTAGCTGTTCAGGAATCTTATGGCTTGGGGGTAGAAGCTGTTGAGAAGTCTTTTGGACCTAGACTTGGCACTTCGGTACCGCTTGCCGTGCGGTAGCAGAGAGAACAGTCTATGACTAGGGTGGCTGGAGTCTTTGACAATTTTGAGGGCCTTCCTCTGACACCGCCTGGTATAGAGGTCCTGGATGGCAGGAAGCTTGGCCCCAGTGATGTACTGGGCCGTACGCACTACCCTCTGTAGTGCCTTGCGGTCGGAGGCAAGCAGTTGCCATACCAGGCGGTGATGCAACCAGTCAGGATGCTCTCGATGGTGCAGCTGTAGAATCTTTTGAGGATCTGAGGACCCATGCCAAATCTTTTCAGTCTCCTGAGGGGGAATAGGCTTTGTCGTGCCCTCTTCACGACTGTCTTGGTGTGTTTGGACCATGATAGTTCGTTGGTGATTTGGACACCAAGGAACTTGAAGCTCTCAACCTGTTCCACTACAGCCCCGTCGATGAGAATGGGGGCGTGCTCAGTCCTCTTTTTTTTTTTCCTGTAGTCCACAATCATCTCCTTTGTCTTGGTCACGTTGAGGGAGAGGTTGTTATCCTGGCCCCACACGGCCAGGTCTCTGACCTCCTCCCTATAGGCTGTCTCATCGTTGTCGGTGATCAGGCCTACCACTGTTGTGTCGTCGGCAAACTTAATGATGGTGTTGGAGTCGTGCCTGGCCATGCAGTCATGGGTGAACAGGGAGTACAGGAGGGGACTGAGCACGCACCCCTGAGGGGCCCCCGTGTTGAGGATCAGTGTGGCAGATGTGTTGTTACCTACCCTTACCACCTGGGGGCGGCCCGTCAGGAAGTCCAGGATCCAGTTGCAGAGGGAGGTGTTTAGTCCCAAGATCCTTAGCTTAGTGATGAGCTTTGAGGGCACTATGGTGTTGAATACTGAGCTGTAGTCAATGAATAGCATTCTCACGTAGGTGTTCCTCTTGTCCAGGTGGGAAAGGGCAGTGTGGAGTGCAATAGAGATTGCATCATCTGTGGATCTGTTGGGGCGGTATGCAAATTGGAGTGGGTCTAGGGTTTCTGGGATAATGGTGTTGATGTGAGCCATGACCAGCCTTTCAAAGCACTTCATGGCTACAGACGTGAGTGCTACGGGTCGGTAGTCATTTAGGCAGGTTATCTTAGTGTCCTTGGGCACAGGGACTATGGTGGTCTGCTTGAAACATGTTGGTATTACAGACTCAGTCAGGGACATGTTGAAAATGTCAGTGAAGACACTTGCCAGTTGGTCAGCACATGCTCAGAGTACACGTCCTGGTAATCCGTCTGGCCCTGCGGCCTTGTGAATGTTGACCTGCTTAAAAGTCTTACTCACATCGGCTACGGAGAGCGTGATCACATAGTCATCCGGAACAACTGATGCTCTCATGCATGCTTCAGTGTTGCTTGCCTCGAAGCGAGCATAGAAGTGATTTAGCTTTTCTGGTAGGCTTGTGTCACTGGGCAGCTCGCGGCTGTGCTTCCCTTTGTAGTCTGTAATAGTTTTCAAGCCCTGCCACATCTGACGAGCGTCAGAGCCGGTGTAGTACGATTCAATCTTAGTCCAGTATTGACTCTTTGCCTGTTTGATGATTCGTCGAAGGGCATAGCAGGATTTCTTATAAGCGTCCGGGTAAGAGTCCCGCTCCTTGAAAGCGGCAGCTCTAGCCTTTAGCTCAGTGCGGATGTTGCCTGTAATCCATGGCTTCTGGTTGGGGTATGTACGTACGGTCACTGTGGGGACGACGTCATCGATGCACTTATTGATGAAGCCAGTGACTGATGTGGCGTACTCCTCAATGCTATCTCAATGCTATCTGTGCTAGCAAAACAGTCCTGTAGCTTAGCATCTGCGTCATCTGACCACTTTGTTATTAACCGAGTCACTGGTGCTTCCTGCTTTAGTTTTTGCTTATAAGCAGGAATCAGGAGGATAGAGTTATGGTCAGATTTGCCAAATGGAGGATGAGGGAGAGCTTTGTATGCGTCTCTGTGTGTGGAGTAAAGGTGGTCTAGAGTTTTTTTTCCTCTGGTTGCACATTTAACATGCTGGTAGAAATTAGATAGAACGGATTTAAGTTTCCCTGCATTAAAGTCCCCCGGCCACTAGGAGCGCTGCCTCTGGATGAGCGTTTTCCTGTTTACTTATGGCCTTATACAGCTCATTGAGTGCAGTCTTAGTGCCAGCATTGGTTTGTGGTGGTATATAGACAGCTACTAAAAATATAGAAGACAACTCTCTTGGTAAACAGTGTGGTCTACAGCTTATCATGAGATACTCTACCTCAGGCGAGCAACATTTTGAGACTTCCTTAGTATTAGATTTTTTGCACCAGCTGTTGTTTACAAATATACACAGACTGCCACCCCTTGTGTTACCAGAGTCAGACGTTCTATCCTGACGATGTAGCGTATATCCCGCCAACTGTATGTTATCAATGTCGTCGTTCAGCCACGACTCGGTGAAACATAAGATATTACAGTTTTTAATGTCCCGTTGGTAGGATAACCGTAATCTTAGGTCGTCTACCTTATTTTCAAATGATTGAACATTGGCTAATAGGGTTGATGGAAGAGGCAGTTTACTCGCTCGCCGTCGGATCCTTACAAGGCACCCCGACCTACGTCCACGATATCTCCGTCTCTTTCTCATGTGAATGACGGGGATTTGGGCCTTGTCGGGTGTCTGTAGGATATCCTTCGCGTCCGACTCGTTGAAGAAAAAATCTTTGTCCAATACGAGGTGAGTAATCACTGTCCTGATATCCAGAAGCTCTTTCTGGTCATAACAGATTGTGGCAGAAACATTATGTACAGAATAAATTACAAATAATGCCAAAAAACACACATAATAGTAGAATTGGTTAGAGGGCTGTAAAATGGCAGCCATCTTCTCCGGCGCCATTATCGCATGATTTAAGCTATGAACTGAACTGCAAGAGTACAATTATGTACCTTTAACAAAAGGTACAAAGGACGTACCTTACAGGGTAGACTACAGTGACAAGTGTTTTGTAACCCTTTAAGAACAAATCTAAACCTTTATTTCTGAGAGTGCAGGTGCCCCGTTTAGACTTAAACAAAAGTTGCCTTAAAACAAAAGTGACGTAGGTTCAGCACGTGGAGTGATGAGTAGGATTGCTTTTGATAAAAACGCTTAATCTACCTTCCCAATGAAAACTACTTGGAAAATTCAAACATATATTTTATGGAAAATATATGTTGTTTGTTTCTGAACGATGCATCATGCTACCTTGTTGACAACATGACCGAGCGGCGCAGATTACTGTTCGATTTGAGAAGGGCGCTCCTCCCTCACCGCGGTTCAGCTTAATTGAACTCTCTCACTGTGTAAGAGTATTGAGAGTATTTTTGTGTATTAAGAGTATATTGGGGAGTATTGAGAGTACTAGGAGCCATGCGGTTAGTTACCTCTGCTGGCTTGTTGGAGTCGGGCCTGCAGGCTGAGGTTCTCCTCTTTCAGAGCTCTGATCTCACCGGGAAGCTGGCTGACAGAGTCCAAGCCCTGGATGTAGATGTTGGTGGGGGCACCTGAGGAGGAAGAGGAAGAGAACTGGATGAGGAGAGACAAGACATTTCGCTAGTGACTGAAAAGTTGGATGTAGAAATAATATGGACATGGTCTGAGTAACGGTGTGTTGGTGGTCTGGTACCTTTGTCTCTGGCTTGGTTGACCGGTCTCTCCTCCAGCTGCTGTCGGAGGCGCTCATTGGTCTGGATGGAATCCTCCAGGCGTTGACGTAGACTCCTGATCTCCCTCAGGTGCTCCTTCATCAGGTCAGAACCTGCACCAAACCACACATCAAAATGCTGTTTACATTTCACAACATAAAATGTTTTGTATAGAATATATAACACAATTATTTATTTATTAAACGGGCATCCAAAAAACATATCCATAAACACACACACACACACACACAGCTTTGTTTTTGTGAAATTTCAGGACTTTAATGAGTGTAAAGAAATGTGACCATAAATGTTTTTATTTTCCCTAACCCTAAACCTAACCCTTAACCTAACCCCAGCCTTAACCCCAAAAACCCTAAACCTAACCTTAACCCAAAACCCCAAAACCTTAACCTTAAAATAGCATTTTAACTAATTCAGGACCCAAAAAACATCCTGACTTCAAAAAAGTTATTGTTTTTCCGACCCTTTCAGGACATTCGGGTGAATTGTTAGACCATTGGGGTCCTGATAATGTAGGAAAACAAGTACACACACACACTCACACACACGCACACACACACGCACACACACGTTTACATTAAAACTCAGATAAACACACACCTGTATGGCTGGTGCCAGACTGGTATCCTGACGACCCTGATGACAAATCAGCAGCGCCAATTCTAATTGGCTGAGCACCGTAAGCCATGTCCCACATTGCACTGCTCTCCAGGAGACTGGCGCCTGCCTTCATGGGGCCACTGAGAGGAGATGGGTGGAAGGTGTGGTAGGACAGAGGCTGTGGCAGGTAACTGGAGGGATCTGCCTTGGGGTGGGCCAACATGGGGAAGCCAACAAATGGCTTGGCTGAAGGAACTGAAAAACCTGCAGTAAGAAAGACAGAAAAGCCCAAGCATGAATAAAAAGGTTGGCCAGGCAGCTTGTTGTGAGATAGATAACTCAGAGAGAGTCAGAACACTATCAAAGCCTCCTGTGTTGGGATGTTTGGATGGTGGAGAGTTAGGTTGTGGGGAATCAGGAGTAGTGGGGGGGGGGGGGGGTATGATCAGTTAGCTCAAAGCCATGAGTTGGACTACATCACATCAACTTGCTCAATTACACTTGGAACCCCCTCATCCCTCCCTCTCCTCCATCTCTTCTCTCCATCTTACATTACTGCCATGAGTTTAGAGCTTTGAATGTGAAACTCACTTTCTGTACACCAAGTTTATCAATGAAAACCAAATTACACTATTACTGTAATACAACAGTTAAAAAGTCAATTTTAGAGCTTATAACCTCATGTAATTACATGATGTGTTCAAAGCGTGACAAATGTAGCCACACCATGCTACACGCACACACACACACACAGGCACACACATAAAGTGCAGGCAGAGTGACGCACGCTCAGTATCTCCCAGCTGCCTCTGTAACATCTGCAGCTCCTGGTGAACCTCTGCCAGGGAGAAGCCCCCGGGCCCGCTGCCATGGTAACGGGGTCGCAGGTTGCCCGTGTGGGGGTCAAAGGGCAGAGGGGCTCTCTGAGAGGAGAGGTCTGGGTGGTAGAGGGGCTGGGGTTGGGGATGGGGGGCTGGGGAGGGGTGGGGAGGGAACTGGACACTGGCCCACTGTAGAGGGCTGGAGGTACGGAGGAGAAATACAGATGAGAATGGAGAGAAAGGAGAGGACAGAGAGAAGAAGAGATGACAGGGTTACAGAAAGAGGGGTGGGACCGGGAGAGGTATGAGGGACGAAAACACTTCACAATGGCTGGACATGATCAAGTACAGTATGTGGACACAATGAATAATACAGTCACTTCCACTCCTCTCTCTTCCTGTCTCTCTGCCTACCTGTCTGTGTCTGTGTGTCCCCTGACAGCTGCATGCTTGGACAGCTGATGGAGGACTGGTGTCCGTGGGATGAAGTGGTGGATGGAGGGGTGGAGGGGTGGTGTGACATGGGTACACTGTTGCAGTGAGAATCTGAGAGATGATGAATGAAAATAAGACAGTTAAGTTGTGCACTGCTGGGCATTAGAAATATGGATGGGCAGTCATTTGTGTGTCTGCGTGTGTCTATTATTCCCTGTACCTGTACTAGCTCTAGTGGAGGCACGTCTGTCCTCCTGGTCCATACTCGCTGGCTGCGTCTATGTCTGAGCACAGCTCCAGGTCCTCATTGGTGGAGCCCGTGCTCATCAGACACGAATGAGATGTGGTCTGATTGGTCCGTGGTGTCAGAGAGGGCATGGCTACTGCAGGGTGTGTCAGAACGTGGCTGGTGCTGGTTGAGTTTGGCATGGAGAGACTCAATGAACTTATCCTTCTGTTGTAGCTCCTTACTCAGCCTGTACACACACACAAACATATAGGGAGACACTCAGTGATCTTGTCCTTGCCCACATATGGCCATACATCTGCTCTCTAGTGACAGAGGGACAATCAAAGCATGATTAAGCCATTAGCTGTCCTGTCCTGTCCTAGTCACCCTACTGTCCTGCCCTGTACAGACAAAGAAAGATGCTTGGTGATCCTATCCTCCCTGAAGCTGAAGCACCTTACTGCCCACAGAGAGACAAACTGCGATCAACACAGACACAGGCTGATATCAGCTCACTCAAGGTCTTATTTATTTTATATCGATTTCACCTTTATTTAACCAGATAAGTCAATTGAGAACCAATTTTCATTTACAATAACAACCTGGCCAAGAGGCATAATATTGCAACAGTGAACAGGACAAGACAAAACCACACAAAATAAATAAAACACATATTACAGAGTAATATAGAAAAATAAGAAATATTCACAGTGGGTTAAAAAAAGAAAGACTGACACTAACACACAGTTCCCCCTCAGCTGAATTAATTAATTGATAGCAGCATCCTGTTGGCAGTGTGAAGGTCACCTCAGCTCACCAATCTAAACCAGTGCCAGGCTGATCCCTCTACACACACACAAGCACACACACACACACACACACACACACACACACACACACACACACACACACACACACACACACACACACACACACACACACACACACACACACACACACACACACAACACACACACACACACACACACACACAAACACACAAACACACAAACACACACACACACACACACACACACACACACACAGCGGACTTGTGTAGTGTATCCCATCTGTTTGCAGTCCAGCACTGGCCTCTCATCTGAAGGACTTACTGTATAGTACACAGTTAACGATTACTATCACTCTAACGTTACTCAAACAATAAATGTAGGATTCTTACTTCTCCAGCTGCCAGTGCAGGGCCCTTCTCTCTCTTTCAGTGTGTTTTCTGTACAGGGCCAGTTCTCTCTCCTGGGCCCGGCTCTCCCACAGAGAGAAGGAGAACAGAGAGTCTCTGTACAGAGGGCTGCTCTTAGACAGCATGGCCTTCCAGAGTGGAGCCATGGGCTCGGGCCCCCTGCTCAACTGGCCAGCCTGCCCCACCAAAGTCCCTCCTCCCTGGGCTAGAGAGCCGCTATCCTGGCCTCTCTGCTCCTCCTCCTCCTCCTCCTCCTCCAAACTAGTGTGACAGTCGTTGTCCTAGTCCTCGTCGTGAGGGGTCGTAGCCGTGGCAACACCTCTCAGCTGGGTCCCCACGGTAAATAGCTTACTGCCAAGGACGTGATCTCCGGAGTGTTACGTAGGTTAGGAGAGGGGGAACGGGCTAGAGGGAGGGATGGAGGCAGGGATAGTGGGATGACTGGTCGTGAGCAATCAGGTGAAAAGCAGAGTAAATCCCCAGATTTGGCCTAGAGACAGAGACGTCCAGGGGAGTAGGCCGATCTGCTGGCTGTCTCCACTGCCGCCACACATCACACACACACACACACACACACAGAATGAGGATATGGATGCGCAAATGTGTGTGGGGGCTGTGACTGTGACTAGTGCAGTCTCGTAAGCAGCACCTGACCCAGGCCAGTCCAGTACAGACAAGCCTAACAATGTCCCACAAATCCCAAATCTGCTGTGCAGTAACTTAGATCAGGTGGCATTTCCCCCTCTTTAAACAAGAGGTCTTTCAATGGTGCAATTGAATTGGATCCTGTTGGTGAGGTAGAGGACCTTGGTTCAAGCCCAGTCAGAGGCAAGTTCAGGGAGGCAGCGATGTATGCTTAGCTAGCACAATGACGCCGGTTATATTTGCTTTAAAGAAGCACTGGTGTTTTGGTACAGCATGGAGGAGAGTTATTCACATTGCGCTGTGACTCAGTCACTCACTGCCTGAGGACAGCAATAGCTCTGTCTCCCTCTTTCTCTCAGTGTCCCTCTGGGAAGAAGAGAGAGCATCCGATCCTGCGTTCAAGGAAACCGCTGTCTTTTCCCTCTTTTCCCACCACCAGCCAAACACAACACAGAGCGACCGGAGAGAGTGGTGTTTTTCCAGAGACGGAGAGAGCAGAGTGGGATGTTAGGCGGGTGTATCCGGGGCTGAATGGTCAAACACAAAGAGTCAGATAACCCTAGTCAGCCTTCTGTGTGTTGTAAACCCCACACTGCAGCGCTGGCCCAAAAAAACAGTTCCTATCCGGCCCTTTGTCAAATGCTGTTCTTCTAAGCCTCTCTGTCTGCAGGTATTGCAGTGTGAGGGGAACATCTGTTCCTTCCCCCAAAAATGATTGTTTATTACATTTTACCTCAAACTGGATATTTGAAGAGGTTGTATACTTCAAAAAAGGAACAAAACATTTGTCTAAAATCCACTAAAAGCACAAGATGAAGATCCAAAGTAGAATTCCAGGTACTGTAGTCAATGCGTCCCCTTTTAAAAAGTCCCAGGGCTTAGTATGAATCAAATGCAGTATTCAGAGAATCCACCATTGCACATAATAGTAATAGAGCCCTGATTCTCCGTAGTGCTCCTGTAGTTTTAGAAATGGACATGCTGAGCCTGTGCTGGATCATGCTCTACACTAGGCTTTGCTCTTCTCTTGCTAGCTGTGGGGCAAAGTGACGCTCTCGCTCGCTCCCTCTCTCTGTTTCAATCTGCGTCTCTCTCTCTCTCTCTCTCTATCTCCCTCTCTCTCCCTCTCTCTGTAGATTTAGCTGATCCTGACCTATTTCAGTTCCCTCCCGCGAGAAGGCACATGCAAGGGAATCAAATCAATACAAATCCCCTCTTTTTACTCACTCAATTAAGGGCTTGTCCTAAATGAGTCGAATGGCACTAAAACACATTTAAGTCCTCCGCATCTGGTTGGCCATCTGTGTGGCAGTACTGCAGGGTTATATCCCCTAGCCCTGCCTCTCTCTCTCTCTCCATCCTCTCCCTTTTATAAGAGAGAGAGAGAGGGAGAGGCACCTATAATTACCCACAATGCAATGCCTGACCCTACTCTCAACCCTATAAGGACACATCAACTCTAGGGGAAAGTAGTCCTCTAAATCAGAATCTCCCCATTTTTGCCTTAAATGAGAGAAGAGCTCTAGCCGAGCGAAAGGGAAGAAAGAGAGGAGAGCTGGGACAGAGTTACTGCTACTGTGTGTTTATTGTATACTTCCCCAACACCCTTGCATGGCACAGAGGTGGGTTTCTATGCTGGTCTGGGCCTGGGAGCTATTCGGCCATGGATGCATCTGACCTGACATGAAATGACATCCTAATCCCTATAGTGCACTTATGTAGTGCTTGTAAGTCAAAGGTAGTGCAGTATAAGGAATAGGACATAGTGTCATCTCAGATGCAGCCTGTGCCACTGCTTCAGAAGAGGAAAGAGAGACTGTTCTTTTAGCAATAGAGATAGCTAGCAGCTTGCTGTGCTCGAATGTTCTGCTCTGGTCCGTAAGTCTCTGTCTACCTGCACCCAGATCCCAGGGCCATCCAGCGGACAGGCTGACCCCACAGGCCCCTGGTCGCACAGCATGACCCCACAAACGAGGACAGTCATTGTAGTTATTCAGAGGTTATTCAGCACCAGTCGACTATGAGGACCACGTCACGCGATGAGATGAAGAGATCAAAAAGGTTACAGTACCGTACAAGCTGACACAGGAATACAATGTTTGTCAGGTTCTGTTCGTTGTGCTTATGTCTCTCTCCCTCTCTCATACTCACACACTCCTCTCCCCTCCTTTTCTGAGTCTGAACCCAAACACAAGACAGTGTGAGTCTTGTCCGCATGCCCACACCACTGCAGCCTGGTTGACTGGCTAATGCCCACTTTCTCTCTCGCTCACACACACACACACACACACACACACACACACACACCACACACACACACACACACACACACAGAGGCATGATGGGAAGAAAAAAAGGATGCCATCTCAGCAACCAAATCCCCCAAGTGGCGGTCTGAGGCTGCTGCCACAATCATCAGAGGGAGGCGGAGGAAGGGCAGTGGGTTCATCCAATCACAACGCTCCTCTCCAATGACTGTCACCATGGGGCTGGTTAGCAGTGGTGACGTCACATGGCCCTGACTCAACATGTTAGCCTTAATGCTAATGTGGCTAACGCTATAAAACCAGCCACACTACCAGCATGAGGGCGAGGGGATTAGAGAGGGTGAGAAAGAGAGAGGGCAAAGATGATTGGCAAGTGAGTGAACGAAAATAGACTTAGGAAAGGAAAATAAGGAAATGGAGAGATCTGTCTTTCAGTAGTTCTCAAAGAGAGTACACCCCAACAACAACAATCACAGTGGTGTATTGGATTGAGATCCGATGTCGTCAGCGACATGAGCAACTGATTGATCTCGATCTCTGATGATCGTCACAGCCAACTGTCCAGTGTGCTGGTCTGCCAGTGAGTTAATCAGACTAATTGATTGTCTGTGTGGATCACTGATCAAGTGACAAACCAGAGAGAGATAACCCCAGTGGAGGACACACAGGCCCCCAAACAACAATCAATATTTTCCAACTGCCAAGATCTATTGCTTTACAGAACAGTTACCAACAATACCAACCAGAGATGACACTGATACTGATGAAATACTGTTGCATTGATGTCATACTGTTGCAAACACACACATATGCAAATTGGCAGACGCATACCGTATGGCGAGCAGCTCTGTGCCAGTCTTGTCATCAGGAATCTCTGGATGATCCCCTGAAGAGAGACATTAGCACTTTATATATGGACAATACACACACTCATGCTATCTCTTGTTGGGCATGACTGGACATGACTGATAAATTGTGTTTGCAAATGTCTGTTGTAAAGTTAAAAGATATTGAAGATTGAGCATATTAGCTAGCCGTTATCTCATGTGTATCGTGTAATTAGGGCTGTAACGATTATGTCATTTTGGGTAAGGATTAAATGTCTTGCAAATGGCCACGGTTATTGTTATAATTGTCAATTTTGATGAAAAATGTTTTGAGCTTGTAATGCATCATAAGGCAACTTTGAAAACTAAATATGACATACCTAATGAATAAAACATAGCTTTGGTGACACCCCTGTCTTAAAAACAAATGGATTTGACCGCTTGCAACTTTTAGAAATGAACTTTCTGCTCCCGACCGTGCCGTTTTGCTCATAAAATGATTACAAACTTTACCCACTTCATGTAAAAATATAAAACTGCTATTGGGAAAACTATATCGACTTGCAGATGAAGTTAAAACCCCCCTTCTCCTAAAATTAATGTATTAAGATGATTTTGACGCAACACATTTTTTGTTAATGGCCAAATCAAATAAGATCAAAGTTATTGTCCATAATTATAGGTTACGTGATTATACGATCATTTTGCCAGCCCCACATGTAATTGTGTATAATTGTGTGTTTTTGTGTACAGTAAGTGCTATTTGTGTGCAATGGTGGATATCTTCTGTGTCTAAATGTCTGGTCTCCTCTCCACTCACGTCCCCTGATCTTGGTGCTGACTCTCTGTGCCAGGGCGCTGCTCTGTGCCAGCTGTTCTCTGAAGCTCTGGCCCATGTAGTAGTCGATGTCGTTGGCACGCAGCAGTTCCTCGAAGGCCTTGGTGGTGTCGCCCAGGTGCTGGGTCAGGATGTGGCAAACGCCATGCCCCTCTCGCGTCCTCTGGCGCAGGTGCGACAGCTCACGGGCCTGCGCCTGTATTAGGGTATCAAACTTCCTGCAAGGAGACAGAGGTAGAAGGAAGAGTCAATATGAGACAGACAGATGAAGAAGCAAGTGTCAATATGAAACAAACTGGTTCCCATAGGTCAGTGGATTTGAGCATGTTTCTAGGATTGTGGATTCCATTCCAGCATGGGCCACATATACTGTGTTTACTGTAAATTAATCTGCTGTGATACTCTGTACACTGCTGTGATAACTGTACACTGCATACATTCTAACATGTGGACCAGGGTTAGTGGTGGCACTACCTACCCAGGACCAGGCCAGGTGGCAGCCTTTCCCTCTGCAGGGAGCCCTGGAGTCCCTGCTGGGGTCCCTTTGCCCCTCCTCAGCTGGTCCTCCAGGGCTCCCACGCGAGACACCAGCTCCTGGAGGTCCTTGTCGGGTTTGGGCCCTAGACCCCCACCAGACGACTCCCAGCCCTCGTCCTCATCCAGGCCGCTCTGGGAGGGCGAGGACTGGAACTGGAAGGCCCAGCTGACCTTGCGGGGGGTGGAGGGGCCGAAGGGGTCGCTGGAGGTGGAGAGGGAGCGCAGGCGGCCCTGGAGGCTCCGGATCACCATCTGGGAGCGGGAGAGCTGCGAGCGCAGATCCTCAACCAATCGCTGGAGAGATGTGAAGTCATCAGCCTCGGAGGTTGATGTTGGAGGACTGGCCTTCCCAGGATGCACAACGCCTGACCACCACTGGGAGCCGCCGCACTCCAGAGACGTGCACATCTCCAGATCGTCAAACTCTGCGGGGAACAGAAAGGGAGGGGACGTGGATTAGACAACTGATATACAGTACTGCCCTCTTGTGGCTTTACTAAACCATAGTAGATTGTTTCAATCTCCCAATAACCCTCAAGTATTGCAGAGTACAGCAGTACTTTAGTGTAAAGAATGACCTGCTGATATTTGTAGTGTCAATAGTAACAGTAAGTACCTGGGCTGCTGGTCTCCTCCCTCTCAGCTTCATTCTCACTGCGACCACACGTCTCATAGCCCATGTCCTGTAGATCCACCTGGACCTGCTTACTGTCCTGCTGCACAGACGTCTCCGCTACAGAAAGACAGAGAAAGAGAAAGAAAGAGAGAGCGAGCGAGAGAGAGAGAGAGAGAGAGAGAGAGAGAGAGAGAGAGAGAGAGAGAGAGAGAGAGAGAGAGAGAGAGAGAGAGAGAGAGAGAATGATACATTAGAATAGTTCATGCATGTAGCATATTACCGTATGTGTGATAGACAGACAGTGTGTGTGCATATGTGCATGTGTGTGTTTATCTGGTGAGGGTGTATTGACTCACTCAGTAGGTCTCTGTAGTCTTTGAGCTGTTCAGCCTGAGCCTCCACAGTGGCCTCAGACACCATGAGTCTCTCCTGCAACTCCTCGCTCTCCAGCCGGAGCCACACAGCATTCTCAACCATCACTGTTTCTGTGGGGCTCTGCTTCCTGCCTCCAGCTTCTCCTCCTCCTGCGTCCCCCTCATCATCATCCTGCAACACAGGACCAGAGTAATGTCAGTGTTGTGTCCATAGAGATCCAGAGATTCATTTCAGGCTTGTTTAAATATTTAGAATGATATTCCTTCCTTGAGGTAATCAGTCTATGGGCCTCTCACAGTTGACCTACCATACATACGGTAGCACGCGTTATTAGAGTATAATTTGGTGTGATGTCTTCCCCTTCCTGTGTGGAGTGGGACAGCAGGGCTCCCAGGTCCAGAGAGACAGGCCTAGTGCAGGGTCTCATCCCCAGGCCAGGGTCTCTCAAGGTGGGCCTGGGGGCACAGTGCTCATCCCAGCCATCAGATAGATCAACCTCACACAGCTCCTCTTCCTCCTCCTCCACATCCAGCTCTTCTTCATCCTCCTCTTCTTCCAGGAATCTCTGTTCATCGCTGGGGTCTGTCTCTGACTGTCTCTCTGTCTGGTGAGACTTCAGCTCCACGTTCTCCATGCGTAGGCTGAAGAGGGCTTTCCTGTGTGAGAGAGAACACAGACACATCTCAACTAACACCTCTCATATCCACTGCTCAAGCCAGGGTGAAAACCACAGGCGTTTGTCAATCTATAAGCTGGACCTCCGTATGTACACCACTGTAATTGTCAAAAAATACAAAAATAGTTGTTAGTCTAAATGTATTTAGGCTGAGTCAATATTTTCATTATTTTCATCTGGTTAATCTCATTCACTTTCATTCATATATACACTGAGTGTACAAAACATTAAGGACACCTGCTCTTTCCATGACATAGACTGACCAGGTGAATCCAGGTGAAAGCTATGATCCCTATTGATGTCACTTGTTAAATCCACTTCAATCAGTGTGGATGAAGGGGAGGAGACAGGTTAAAGAAGGATTTTTGTATGTGTGCCATTCAGAGGGTGAATGGGCAAGACAAAAGATTTAAGTGCCTTTGAACGGGATATGGTAGTAGGTGCCAGGCGCACCAGCTTGTGTCAAGAACTGCAATGCTGCTGGGTTTTTCACTCTCAACAGTTTCCCGTGTGTATCAAGAATGGTCCACCACCCAAAGGACATCGAGCCAACTTGGCACAACTGTGGGAAGCAATGGAGTCAACATGGGCCAGCATCCCTGTGGAACGCTGTCGACACCTTGTAGCGTCTATGCCCTGACGAATTGAGGCTGTTCTGAGGACAAACGGGGTGGTGCAACTCAATATTGGCAAGGTGCCCTTAATGTTTTATACACTCAGTGTATAGTGTGTATATATCATGTTTCATAATAACATGTATGCAGTCAGCGTGTGTTACCTCATCCTGGACAGGGAGGAGAAGCCGGCCTTCTCCAGCTGAGCCTTGAGCTCCTGCAGCTCTCTCTCCACCACCCTCTTCTGTTGCACCAGCTGTTTCACCTCCACCAGCCCCTGGGCCTCTCCCACTGCCTCCTGGGATAGCTTCCCCTTCCCAAGTCCTCCAGAGTGCTGATTGGAGGAGATGGAGAGAGAGAGAGAGAGAGAGATCGAATATCTAGAGAAGCAGAGAGCAGAGAGAGAGAGCTAGAGAGATAGAGAGAGATAGAGAGAGAGATAGAGAGATAGAGCATCTATCGCTAGAGATAGAGCTAGCGTAGATACCGTCGATAGCTAGAGAGCTCTATCGATCGCTCTGAGATAGAGAGATCCGATAGCGAGAACCGAGTGTGCCCAAATCATGCAAAAATCGCCACAGTGTGTTTGGATCACCCAGGTTGATAACTAAAATATGAGTGGTGGTTAGGAAAGATTCAATGTGACATGATTAAGACAAAATAATCTACCACTATTTCAATATTATAGGTACAGTACATGGCCTACCTGCATGGTGGCTAGGGTTCGAGCTGTCAGTTTGGAGTCCTCTTCCTCCATGCTGTCTGCATAGTTACTGTTGAGATCTTCATCATAATCGTCCTCTGAGCTGAATTCTAGAAAGAGAACCGAGACCACAGAATGCAGTTCTTAGTTGAAACATAAGCATAAACATGGACACATACACACAAGTTCTGAAAAGAAAAGCCTTAAAAGAAAATGTCACACTGACGTAGAGTACTGCATTTGTGGCAACAGATCGATCAAAACATACAAATCCTTGACACTTCTTACTTTTGCCAGAGTACAATTCAACAACCATTTTTTTTTTAATACTGTACATAGCCTACCCCAATCCTGGCCTTTCTGTATGTCAAAGCCTTTCCACCAAAAAGCAAACTGACGTGAACGCATCGACAAAAGATGCTTCTTACATTCAGTAATGGTGGTGGTCACCCTTTAAACCTCTCCCACCTCTCAGTAATGACTGGAAGAGAATCTTCAAATAGACCCACATTTCCTCTGAGGGAATCTATCTCACTGTACTGGGATATACTACTGTACGGGAAGATATACTGTAAGGTAAACTGTAAGATATACTGTCAGTATACAGTAAGAGCAGATACTTTAACCGCTTACAGTAAATACAAACCTACAGACACAGCTCTGTGGAGTAACAGGGTAAGGTATCGCAGACTAGAGGGCTAGGAGGAGAGGATTCTAAATGTTTAATGTAAGGCTATTGGAGTAGTTTTACAAACAGTGCAGAATGCACATTCTAAAAAGGATAAGGCATCTTTGGGGTAATATAATAAGAGTCCATCATTTTGTCTTGACCTCTATGTAATCTGTTTAGTGTTGGATTTCAGGAATATACTCTATTCAAATAGAAGCTCATTCAAAAGCATGGCTAAGCACTAGCTGGCTGTAATCTTGTACTGTCAGACAGCCGAGTGAGTGATAGAGACTTAAGCGATACAGGCTTTAGTGATACAATATTCTCTTTTCACAGATAAATGTGATTAGGGAAATCTAATTGACATGTAAACATGCAAAATGAAAGTCTTCCCTTGTTTCTATGTAATGTACATGGCCCTTCAAACCATCAAATAGACTAATGCAATTGGAGCATTTTACTGTTGAAATTGGGCGGGAGTGGTTAAGAGCGTAGTGCCAGTAACTGAAAGGTCACTGGTTCTAATCCCCGAGCCGACTAGGTGAAAAATCTGTCGATGTGCCCTTGAGCAAGGCACTTAATCCTAATTGTTCCTGTAAGTCGCTCTGGATAAGAGCGTCTGCTAAATGTAAAAAATTGGGGGGATTTTGTATATATGGTTATATGCTCATGCAGTCATGCATCCACACTGTATGTCTAGGTGGGTTTCATACCTTTTATCTACAAATACTACTATTACTCTGAGTAGAATCAACTGTGACAGGTTTGAGAGTGGAGAGAATCAGGTGTATTAACAGATTCATCTTAATGTAACTGGATATATATAAGTTTATGAACAACTCATGTGGACTATGTTTATGCAGGAAGTCAGGGAGGGAGGTGAGGAGGGAGCGAGGGACAGTTGAGCCAAGAACACCATAAACACCATATCAACCCAACAATATAACACAAGGTTTGTTTATTAAGCTCAACACAAGGTTTGTGCTCTATTGATAATGATGTTACAGTACTTGTGACAGATGGTAAAGACTGTAGCAAAGCAGCTTCTGCCATGTTATCAGATCAGATGGTTTCTCTTTCAGACACACATGCTGGGTAATGTCTCTGGGAGAAAGGATGAATATTTGACATACCTCTAGTCGAAGAGATGAGGAGGATTCCCAAGGTCAGATAACAAAGTCATACACAACTTACTGTATACTGTGGTCCTTATAGTGTGGCAATCAGACAATGGTTTATAGAGATAACCAAACAATAAATGTCATGGTTGTTGAAATGTACTGTACTCTGGCAAAAGCAAACATCACTTCTAATCAACTTGAAGTGCACATTTCAGACAGCAGTCATTATTAGATATTCTATACAAATCTGAGTTGCAGAGATTGGTATATCAACATGAAATACCAGTGGTGTAAAGTGCTTGAGTAAAAATACTTTAAAGTACTACTTAAGTAGTTAATTTGGGTATCTGTACTTTACTTTACTATTTATATTTTTGACAACTTTTACTTTTACTTCACTACATTCCTAAAGAAAAGTATGTACTTTTTACTCCATACATTTTCCCCTGACACCCAAAAGTACTCATTACATTTTGAATGCTTAGCAGGACAGAAAATGGTCCAATTCGCACACTTATCAAGAGAACGTCCATGGTCATCCCTACTGCCTCTGATCTGGTGGACTCACTAAACACAAATGCTTTGTTTTTAAATTATGTCTGAGTGTTGGAGTGTGACCCTGTCTATCGGTAAATAAATAAATAAAAGAAAATTGTGCCGTCTGGTTTGCTTAATATAAGGAATTTTACATGATTCATACTTTTACTTTTGATACTTAAGTATATTTAAAACCAAATACTTTTAGACTTTTACTCAAGTAGTATTTTACTGGGTGACTTTCACTTTTACTTTTTTTAGTCATTTAGCAGACGCTCTTATCCAGAGCGACTTACAGTTAGTGAGTGCATACATTTTTCATACAAATTTTCTATTAAGGTATCTTTACTTTTACTAAAGTATGAGAATTGAGTACTTTTTCCACCACTGCACAATACCATTACATGGTATATAACCACCATGGATCATGCCGTTGAACATGCAAAGGCACACACATATTATTAGTATAAATAAAAGTCATAACATAACTTAAACATATGATTCTATTGACACTATCATACAAAGTTAGAAATCCCTTGTACTGTATGTAAACATAAGCAATATCTTCCCTCTTTGTTTCTTTGCCTACTAGTTATACATTCAAATAAGTGTTTAATACCTAAGCTGCTGTAAACATAATCTAATACATAACCCAATTAAAACATACAAATGTAGAATTGCACAAAGCTTTACAAAAAAGCTAAAAATATATATTTAAAAACTATTAGCTAATATATAAATAACATTGTGAAGTCTTAACTATGGTTAGCATCATCACCCAAAAAAGGTGCCACTACAGACAGAGACCCATGCTCCTCTGATGCCCACCTCCAAACTCTGCCTGCCTGTCAGCTGGCCTGGCAGTGCTCTGGGTCCTGAGGGCTGTGAGTTCAGCCTGGGCCTCCCCCTCCCTCCTCAGGGCCAGACGCAGCTCATCCTGCAAGGCCCGGAGGTCCTGGCTGGTCCCCTGGAAGTCTGGACCCTGAAGGCCTAGCTGAGAGCCAGAGGTTAGCTGTCTGCGGAGCTCCTGGAGACGTACAGTCTGCTCACTCATCACCTCACCCAGACGACCTGCCGATTCCTTGGGGGGGAGAAGAGTGAGGATAGGGAAAGGGAGGGAAAGGATGGAGGTTTTTGGGGATTCAAATATCTGACTCAATACAGCTTCTTTGTGGCAGAATTCTCTCTCATTCTCTCGCTCTTTCTTTCTCTTTCTCATTCTGTCTCTCTCTCTCTCTCTCTTTTATGTACCCAATCAGTCCCTCAGACTATACCAAACCACAGCTCTCAGGTCAGTGTGGTTGTATTACCTGGATGTACTGGTCTCTGGTGCCGATGGTGTTGAGCAGGTCCTGGACCTGTGAGTGGTGCTCCTGGGACTGACGGCTGCGGTCGGACAGCAGTTCCTGGAACAATTTCTCCTTCAGAGAGAGGCGAGCCTTCAACTCCTCCCACACTCAGTGGATGCATTACACCTTATCTAGCAGGGCCCAGCAGGTCCTGGGATGGAGGGAAGATGGGGAGTAGAGAGAGAAGAGAGGAGAGAGAGCTAGAAGTGAGGAGAGAGATAGAGAGAGAAGAGAGAGAGAGAGGGGATGAGGAGAGAGTAGTATAGAGGGTGGAGATCGTCAGAAGAGAGAGAGAGAGAGACTACATCCGGGAGAGAGAGATATGAAGAGCTGCGATAGCGCTCTGAGGAGGGAGGCGATGCACCAGGACGAGGAGACAGACAGAGAGAGAGAATATGAGAAATTGTAAATAGTGTGAAGAATCAAGAAGCAAGAGTTTTTCAATTTTTGCCACAGATAAGCAAAAATCGATTTGTGCTGGTGTACAGTATGTGCATACTGTGGCAAGTGTTTAATTAGGGCATGTTACCTCAGCCTCCTTGGTGCGTGTGTGCAGAGCGTTCTGTAGCTGGCTAATGAGTGTGTCTCTCTCTCTCAGGCTGCGGCTGTGTCTCTCCTCACTGTCCTCATGGTGGCGCTGTACACTCCTCCACGCCTCACACACCTGCTGCAGCTCCAAACCCTTCCCCCGCACCAGCACCTCCAGACTCTTTAACACACATGCAAGATAGAAGGAATTCAGTACCCAGTGTGTGTGTGTGTGTGTGTGCGCGCGTGTGTGTGTTCATCAGTACCGTGATGGTCTCTTCGTTGTTGGACAGTACACAGTGTTGTCTCTCCAGGTCTCTCTCTTTCTCTCTGAGCAGTAGCTGTAGCCGACGCTGCTCTCCCTCCTTCTCCTCCACACAGCGGAACTTCTCATCCACCGCTCGCTGATGGGAGGGAACATAATGAAATAGAACAATAGAATTCATCTCTAATGGAACATCGCTGTCAATCACCACCATGCAGGACACTGCTGTCCATGCAACCCATGCAGTCCTGTATCATGAGTTTGATGGAAAATCGCCCACTTCTCTTATATAAAGTAATATGTTTTCACTGAGGTTCAACTCTCGTAGAGTATGACTCTCACCTCCAGTGCTCTGTCCCTGTCCTTGATGCGATCTTTCAGTTTGGTGAGGAGAGAATCCCTCTTGTCCCTGGGCTCCTGCTGTTGGTCCAACAACTCTGAGTACTCCTGAGAGACAGGGACAGAGTGTGTTAGGAAGGCTGTGTATGACGGAGGTGGTGTGTGAGTGGGGTGTGTGTGCATGTGTGTGTGTCTGACCTGCACCAGCTGCTCTTTGGTCTGTAGTGAGGTCCTCAGCTCTCTGATGCTCTTCTCTCTCTCCTCCTCCTCTCTCCGTCTCTCTCCCTTCCTCTCTTTCAGCTGTTCATCTCTCTGCTGCAGCTCTGAGCGAGCTTTCTCAAGTGCCAGATGCAAGTCCTAGAGGAGACAGGTAGCATCACAGTCTCATACAATGTTTACACACAAGCAAACGCATGCACTGCAAGGCTACGCCACACACACACACACACACACACACACACACCGTCCCCCCACACCTCTCCCTACCTGGTTGTGTCGCTCAGTACTGTGTCTGTGCTCCATTGCTCCCTGTAGGTCTGTCTCCAGGCGGTAAAGGGCTCTGGTGAGGTCCTCCTCCCTCCTGGTGGCTTTACGCTGGGCCCTCTGGCCTGCCTGCAGCTCCAGCTGGGCCTGGAACAGAGAGCACTGGAGGGCCAACACCTCCCCCTGCCCTCGCACTGACTCTGCCCCAGATACCTGCACCCGAGATGGGGTAGAGAGAGAGGAGATGAGGAGGGTGGGGGTGGAAGAGAGCCAGAGAGTGAAGGCCGTATACAGATAGCTCTATGTGCTGTGTGCTGGGGTCAGCTGTGTTTTCTCTATACTAGCACTGTGGGACATTACAAGGGATGGTATTCAAGCTTGTGTATTAATACAAGGTCTATTAGAGATGGAGAAAGCTGAACTCTTATTACTCTCAATGATCATCTTGATAAAATTGTGACACACTACACATTTTAGTCATTTAGCAGACGCTCTTATCCAGAGCGACTTACAGTTAGTGAGCGCAAACATTTTCATACTGGCCCCCCGTGGGAAACGAACCCACAACCCTGGCGTTGCAAGCGCCATGCTCTACCAACTGAGCTACAGGGGACTACTAACACCACCCCACCTAGCTAAGGCTACGATAGACAAACACCACCCCACCTAGCTACACAAACTGTAAATGATGGTGTCGTTATGTCAGCTGTAGATTTTAGAGCATTTTAGTGTTCTAAGACTTTAGTATGAAGTGTGTGTGTGAGGTGTGTGTTCGGTTCGGAGGAGGGCTGACCTGTAGTGTCTGGAGCTGGTTTCTGTTGGCCAGCTCTTTCAAAGAACACAGCATGTTATTCTGCTCCTCTATGACCCGGTACAACTCTGCTGACTGAGAAGGAGACACACGAAACACAAAAAAAGACATGAGTAAAGTCACCTATTGTTCATCATTGGTTGAACAAAATACATTGTAAAGTGCCCTGCTGTTCTGGATCTTCTTTGTGTACCTCCCTCCCTCCTACCAGAGTCTCTTCGTCTCTCATTTTCTCTCTTTCTTTCTGTTTGTCTGTCTCTCACTCTTTTTGCCTCTCTCCTTCATTCCCTCTCCCTCCCTCTTCCCTCTCTTCCTCTGTACCTCAGTCTCCTTGCTGTTGACAGTCTCAGCGAGGTTGAGGGCGTTTCGTTCCTGTTTCTGGGCCTCCTCTCTGACCAAGCGTAGCTCACACTCCATGTTCCCCAGTCGCATCTGCAGCTTCTACACAACACAGAGAAGTGCTAAAAATCTAATACTGTAGTTTTTTTTTATAAATAGTGTATAAGCAGGCCTTCTAATTAAATGTTAAATTTAGTGTTTATTTTCTTAAGATTTAACAAATAATCCACCCTGGATGCATGTCTACTGTATGCTATGATGGTCAAGTAGTGTAAAAATAGGAACTGCTTCAGAAGGAGGAATGGTGAAAGTCTGAGGGGGAAGTGGTACCTGGTTCCTGGCCTCGCTCTCTCTGATCTTGGCCTGTAGAGAGTGGATCTGCAGCTGGGCCTTCTGGAGCTCAGTATCACACTGACCTGCAGCAGTCTCATACTGACAAAGCTGGCCTTGCTGCTCATCTAGCAGCATCTAACACACAACACAACACACACAAATAGGTTCAGGTTAATACAAATAAAAAACACACGTATATGTACACACACATGCACACACACACTTCCCATGCCCCTGTGTGAGAGTGGAAAAGAGATGAGGTCAGTTCACTGCACTATAACTTCCTGAGAAAGTAGTCCCCGTTTCCACGTCAGCGTGGCATTTATTTATTTTTTGTTTAGAGCTATCTTTATGATTGTGAGGGGCTGTTTTGGTCTGTAAAGTCTCTAGTGGTCAGGGATAGTGAAATAACTAAAATATCCTTGTCATTTAATTTCCAAGATCAACCAATCCTCCATGGGCTCTTTGGACTATCACCTAGGATATGCGTAGAACACACACACACACACACTAACACACACCCAGGACTCAAGCTGGGCTCTTATGATTACATGCTGTTCAATCAATTCAGTGAATCAACCTTCAGTGGAAAAACCAACCCACTAAACTCCCTGAGTCATACTTATCAAGTGGCCATTATTTTAGAATATCAGTGCACTCATTCCTAGCCATGTATCAAGTCACTGTAAGCCTGACAGACGAGGCTAGCTAATTATTAACATGACAAAGGAAGCTATAGAGGTGGATTAAACAGAGGAGACCCTGTCTAACACGGGGCATCGCTGTTTATATAGCAACCATTGTCATGGCTACAGACGTGTTGCTAGGATAATGATGGGAAAACTGGTTTGATTGTCTGTAGAATCACGACCCTTCCAGGCCAACAGACACCCATCCCATCTCCTCCCCAATTCAAGCCCCTCTATCTGGGCTTGTTAGTTCCAGTGTATCTGTTCTAAGAGCCAGGGGCTGGTGGTGGTCCTGCTAGCTACCTGCTGGAAGCGGAAGGGCCCACACTGCACATAGTCATCAAGCCACTGCTCCTCCATCACTGACAGCTCTGTCTGCAGCTCCTGCTGACTGCTGGGGGTCACCAGCTCTGGGATACCAGGGTGGGAGTAGAGGTCATAGTCTGGGGTCCTGAAGGACAGGGGGAGACCAGCGAGGCCCGTCTCCAGTTTGGGTTTGACCAGGATAGGGAGCTTGCTGCCTTGAGGGGAATTTAGAGGTCTGTACTCCCAGATCCTCACTAGACTTAGAGCCAGATCCATGGTCAACCCAGAGACTGACCCCTCCCTGGGGGCATCATCCCCCTGGAGACGAGGGTCCCTACACTGATCCCTCCCTGGGTCCTTCTCTCCTCCCTCTCTCTGCACTTCCTCTTCCCCAACTTGGTGAGCGGCGCAGGGCTGAGCCACATCCATGGCTGTGTCCAAAGATTCTACCGATGAGCCCGGGCTGAGGGTTATCCTCTCTGTGTCCCCATCGCACAGGGTCCTGTCGCTCTCTGGCCCCATGGGAGGGGACTCGGGGGGGACAGGCGTGGACTCTGACCCTGTGGAGGTCTCCTCACCCCCCATGGCACTGCCTGAGTAGCAGTTGGAGGGTCCACATGACGTGGTCCTCCTGCCTAACTGCCGAGGTACCTTACACACAGCCTCGTAGTCAGAGTCGGCCACACGGAGAGCCGCACACCCTCTGCACCGCCTGGAGCGGTGAAGGTGATGATGCTGGGTGTGGTGCTGGTGCTCCGGGGCCAGACTCTGCTGGTCCTCGTGATCAGCCCAGGACTCGTACACAGAATAGGCCAGGTCGTCCTGAAGCACGGAGCTGTACCTGGCCTCCTGCAGGGCTGAGAGGTCCACCACAGGGGAGTCACCCTCAGACCGCCCACCACCCTCTGTCCCTCCAGCCCCAGTACTCTCCAGCCCTATCCCTCTCCCTATCCCAGTCTGATCATGGGTCTGGTCCTCTGTGTTGTTCTTCCAGTACAGGCCTCCTATGCACTGTCTCAGCCGGTCCTTCTCCAGCAGCAGCTTGTGCAGGCGCTCCAGGGACAGAGCCTCCACGCGGGCGATCACCGTGTCGAAGCGGTACATGCGGTCCAGCAGGAAGGCACACTTGGAGCAGGCGAACTCCCCCCGGCCATCACGGGTCAGCTCTCTGCCCAGGGCGTGGGACAGCAGCACCTGCAGGTTGAGTTTGGAGGTCGGGTGGAAGATCCATCGCCGCTGATTACCGCAGAGCTCGCGGGCGCAGATCCGACACACCTCCTTCATTTTAATGTCCAACATTACAGAGAAGTTCTGCTCTCAGTTTTACTGGAGGGGAATTGTGTCTGTTCAGATTGCTCAGGGAATAAAATAAAAGTATTGTACCAGCAGTTTGGAGATCAATAATCCATGAATGTATTTAAATTATTTAGCAGTGCAATGTTCATTTACTTTTCTTCTATGTTTTATAAAAATGTATTCAAAATAGTCACTAGTACATTGTGCCGTATTGCATCGTCAATGAAGAGAGGCGATCACAAAAACGGGGTAGCCTATGCTCTCTTTGCAGTGCTTTGAAGGGGTGCAATGATTTCTATTCAATCGCGATGATTTCTATTCAAGATCATCAAAAAAAGATAGACTGTAGTCTAATCAAACATGGTCAATATATGGAATATAGCGTAATAAGAAAGAGTCGTCTTTCATTTGTGATAATCGCAGATACAAATCCAGTGTCGTTGTCAGTGTCACTGACACTGCGGCTAATCGGTCTAAACACTTTCAGTTCTTCACAAAATGTCATCAAACAGATCATACATTATCAATCGTGCTCATTTCAGATCTAAACAAAATATGTCACGCTATTCTTTTCATACTGCATTTTCTGACACGGCTCATCCAAGACAACAGTTGCGCTGTCTCATCGCAGCTAATTCAACACGAACACGGAATTCACCACCCGAAAGAAAAAGACTGTAGCGGAGACGATATTTTTCGGCTCCGTGATTGCAGTTCACCGGACGGTGTGACGAGAAAGGGAGAGGATGGAACCGGTGGTTTCCACGGGGTTTTAACTTGTATCCGAACAACGCGAGATTGCCACGTTCACCAGGGTTGCCAGGTCCACCAAATATGCTAACTTGTAACCTAACAAAACCCGCCAAAAAGGCCTGAAAGCTTGTCATTTTTTTCACAGCAAGAGAGGAGTAGCCACATTTATACAATACATCATTTTCCTATAACATTAATGAACCAATTAAGAAGGAATATCGACGTAACTTGTAACGACGTTAGACGCAAAAATCGGTTTTCATCAAAATAATAATTCTTGCAAACTATGACATGATGTAATAAATGAATATGAATATGTTGCAAGAGAAAATATAATTAGCCCTTATTAAACTCCCCAAATCATTTTCCATCAATGGATGTCGATTTAACTCTATGATGACTGACTGCTATGATTAAGCAATAACACATCCATATGGTACAGTACATGGCCAATATACCACAGCTAAGGGCTGTTCTTATGCATGACACAACAAGGAGTGCCTGGATACAGCCGTTAGCCATGGTATATTGGCCATATACCACAAACCCCATGGTGCCTTATTGTTATTATAAACAGTTTACCAACATAATTAGAACAGTAAAAAAAAATTTGGGGGTTATACCCATGGTATACGGTCTGATATACCACAGCTTTCAGCCAATCAGCATTCAGGGCTCTAATCCGGTTTATAATGGCAAATAAATCCCTTTTGCACATGTGCATAACTATAGCTAAATCCGACAGGAGAGTTTGAGTGATGAAAGTTGGACAGAGGATCTCAATCTCTGAGCAGGAAACACTTGGAAGAACTTAAAAAAACGAATGTTAGGCTATTTTCTGTCAATTGTGCCATTTTTATGTGCAAGATGTTAAGACTACAAACAGGTGCAAATGGCCAATTTGCAAGATTTACTTGTCATTTCAATAGGCATAGGCTACAGACAAAAAGGTAGCCTATAGCCCCTGATAGGCCTACATCTAATTTCAGATAGTCTACAGTAGCCTAGGCAAGATGTAGGCTAGATGTAAACTGAACAATTTAGCAGCTGGTTTAGCTCAAATTAACAGACTCATGTATTCAACAGCTTGGCAATTTCGAGGTAAGAAGTGCTTGTGTTTCCCAGTAGCCTTCTGAGGATGGGGTCATCATTTCAATCACTGAATTAAATATTAATAAGTATATGAACTGAATCTGCTTGTCAACAACAGCCAGTGTTTATTGTATTTTTTTAACCTGTAGCCTAACCTGACTGACTGTTACCGTCAATCAAATGCGTTCTAACAACCGATCGGCAATTGCTACAGAGCTTTGATAACATCCAATTTATTTAACTAAACATGGCCATTAATAATTGCATAATAACACAAGGCTACAACAACAATACACTGAAGTCATAGGCTATTTATTAAATCAGTTTGCCAGCGCTAAGTAGGCTAAACAAGTGGCCCAAATTGATTTGCAATGACTCCAGTGATATAGACCTAGTCATTTCAACTTGTTTAATGTATCATATGGTAGTGTACAGTAGCCTACAATGGTATATGAATTAATAAGCTACTTGATGGCCAACAGATGCAAATGTATCATTCTCCACATTTAATATCAGTTTCATTGAGGACTTTTCCCCATAACATAAGTGTTATGTTTGTTCCTTGTATAATGACAAACCCGGGGCGTAGGTTTAACTACTTTTAATAAACAGATAGTTCAGCTAGCAATCTCCTTGTGTAGCCATGCAAGGCATACTTCAACTTCCCCACCCTCGCATAGCCTCCTGGGTAATGTAGTCTTAATGTTATTAACGCATAACAACACATCTTCCTTCCTTTAAAATAAAACTATTTTTTCTCTGTAACTAAACATGTCACATCACATGTGTTTACTCAACCTGCATAACATGCAATTTTCAATAATATTTATTTCCCTTTTTTGGTTTCTGTTTAACATTTTTTATTTTACAATAAATGCAGTCTCTGTTCAACAACACTCTTTTGTGGCTCTATTGTTTTCACATAAACAAAACATTCAGTCCAGGTGCCCCTTTTATTTTATTGCAATTCTCAATAAGCCTTTCAGGGGCTCTGACAGTCCTTTTTGGTTGTTCTGCTGAAATGCTTAATGAAGCAGTTGGACAGCGTTTGTTGTCAGTCAGGGTGTTCTGACTGAATTGTCCATTGGTAAAGGCATTTGACGCTTCAGCAGTATCCTCCTGATGATCATCAATCCCTTGAGTGAATGGCTGAAGCCTTAGTTGTGATCCATGCTCCGTTTGGATCTCATAGGACTGCGGTGCAACTTCTCTCTGCACGCACCCTTGCTGCATCCAGGTTCCTGTAGTGATGTCTCGGAGTCATACATGATCTCCAGGTTTCAGTTCAGGTAAGTATTGCACTTTTGTTGTGTTGCTGTTTTTGTTTGTCTTTCTGTTTTTCCTTTGCGAGTTTGACTTTGTGAGCACCTCTGGGTGTTAGCAAGTCCTCATGGATGGGTAGGTTAGTTCTGATGCGATGTCCCATCAACATTTGTGCAGGTGAAAGTCCGTGCTGCAGCGGTGCGCTGCGGTAGATCATCAGACTTTTTAGGAAGTCCTCCTTTCCATCGTGTGCCTTTTTCATCAGACCTTTGACAATTTTGACTGAACTCTCTGCTAAGCCATTGGACACCGGGTAGTTGGGGCTGGAGATGTTGTGTCGGAATCCCCAGTCGTTAGCGAATGATCGGAATTCGGAACTTGAGAACTGAGGGCCATTGTCCGAGTACAGTTCAGACGCAACCCCATGTCTTGCGAAGACTGATTTCAGGTAGGTGATTACAGCTTTGCTGGAGGTAGTTGGCAGTGTTGCTACTTCAGGGTAGTTTGAGTAGTAGTTGGTAACAACAATGTGACTTTTGCCATTGCAGTCAAAAAGGTCAACTCCAACTTTGTAGTAGGGTCGGTTGGGTACTGGATGAGGCATTAGCGGTTCTGCTTGCTGCTTTGGCCTGTAGGTCAAACACAGTTCACATGAAGCAGTGGTCTGGCTGATTTCCTGGTTCATTCTTGGCCAGTACATTACTTCTCGTGCTCGTCGTTTGCATTTTTCCTCACCCAATTGGCCCTCGTGTATTTTCTGTAGCATTTCTTTGCGTAGTGTCATGGGAATGACAATCTTGTTGCCTTTGAACACTTAGTCATCCACAACGGTGATCTCTGCTCTGCACATTCAGTAATCCTGTATTCTCCATGGACAGTTGTTTTTCTGTGCAGGCCATCCTATAAGTATTGTTTCTTTCAACGCTGTCATTGTTTGGTCAGCTGCGGTCTCTCTTTTGATCTGCTCCATTCTCTCAGAAAACGCAGGAAGTGATGCTACGATCCTGTCGACGTAGGCCTGAATCTCAGCGTTGTTCTGTGTGTTGGTGCTCTCTTTCTTGTCAACTGCTCGAGAAAGAATGTCGGTTGGCGAACTTTCCCAGGGTGTAGATCATCTTCACATCATACTTTTGCAGTCTGATCAACATTCTCTGGATTCTCATTGGACAATCATTCAGTGTCTTAGACATGATTGACACCAATGGTTTGTGGTCAGTTTCTATTTGGAAGGCTTATCCGTAGACGTATTGGTGAAACCTTTCGTACGCGTATGTGCTCGCCTGTAGTTCTTTCTCTATTTGTTGCATACCTTGTTTCTGCGCCTGTCAAGGCTCTGGACGCATAAGCGATGGGTTGCCATGTGTCATCATGCTGTTGCAGGAGAACTGCTCCCAGGCCAAACTGTGATGCGTCTGCAGAAATCCTTGTGCTTTTCTCAGGATCATAGAACCTGAGCACTGGCTCTTCTGTGATTGTCTTCTTCAGGTTTTTGAAGCAGATTTCCTGCTCATGGGACCATTCCCATTTGTTTTTTCTGTTCCAGAAGACATCTGAATGGAGCGGACTGTGCTGACAGTTGAGGTATGAACTTTGCAAGGTAGGTGATCATGCCCATGAAGTGTCTCACGTCTTCCTTGTTCTTCGGTCGCTCCATGTTGTTGATGGCTGATGTTTTCCTCGGGTCTGGTTTGACTCCATCCTCTGAAAGTACGTCTCCCACGAAGGTAAGTGTTTTCACACCAAACTCGCATTTGTCCTTGTTGAGTTTCAGGTTGACTTTTTGTGTCAGGTCCAGCACTTGTCTCACTCTCGCGTCGTGTTCTTCTTTTGTGGACCCCCAGACGATGATGTCGTCCATCATGGTCTCTACTCCTGGAATGTGCTCGAAGATCATGTGGATTATCTTGTGGTAGACCTCTGGCGCTGAGAGAATCCCATATGGTAGACGAAGAAATCTGTACCTGCCCTCAGGTGTGTTTAATGTGCATTGCCTTGAGCTTGCATCATCTAGCTTCATTTGCCAGAATCCTGATGAGGCAACCCAATTCTGACACTATG